AGGAAGTTCAGTATGGGGAAGGCTTATTAGACTTACACTAAACTTAAATTCTGTTCTAGTCTGGAATAGTTGAAATGTCACATAGGAGTCTGTTCGGTAGGTGCAGTGTAAGTCATAAAGGAGAGCAAGAGCTACAGATTCACTCTTCAATCTGGCTTGCTTACATCCTTAGAACTCTATAGGCCACATGTTGTGAATATAGCAGCCTCTGCAACAGTGAAAGCCAGAAAAGGAAGTGGAAAGTCTCAGGGGAGGGGGCTTTCTGTCATGGATTTATGAGCACCACAAGACTAACAAGCAAAGAGAAAAATGCAAAAGGATCTTGTTCACGTCCCTGACTATATCAAGGTTATAAAACCTGTGGAGGAGGGGTGTTGTAGACAGAGTTTTTACTACCATTGCCTTTCAACAAGATGACATTGTTTGGGTGCACTAGTGGACAATGCTGAAGAGCAGATAAATCAAAATTAATTTATATGTGACTTTAGAATCCATTATGTGATGTCTATTAACTCTGTGAGGGTTGGACCCACATCTTATATATTCGTGCGTCTCCACAACACCTTATGATGTCTTGTACATGGTAGATGTTCAAAAAGTACTGACTGATTTGATGATAATGCTTAATATATACCTTACTCTTTTTGAAGTATGTTTGTGGTTTCAAATTTGGTTCATTTTGGCTAATATTGGTAAAGGGCCACCACTGGATGGTGGGGGGAGGGAATTAGCCATGAATTAAAATTTTGTTCCATATTATTCAAGTGAATAATCATATGTACTAATCAAGACTTAAGTTATATTGATCATCACTTCAATTCTCTCCTATACAAACTTACAGTTTAATAATAAGACAATAAACTATCCTTTCTTGGATCAACAAAAATCCTATCTCCACCAAGGAGAAAGGAAAACATTATGAGCTAAGTTTACACACAAAGTAAAACACAAGTCAAGAGGACCTAAGAATATTAAAAAAGCTAAGAGCTTCTAAGTCCCACATTCCTGGATATGAATAGTTCAGGAATTCTTCAGGTCATTCACAGAGGCTGAGCACCACTGCTGACTGAAGACTCTGCCTTTCTTTTTTTTTTTATTTCAAAATATTACTGGGGTATAAACGTTTTTGGTTATGTGTGTCAATTTCGTTATGCTTGAGTCAGGGTTATAAGTGTGCCCATCACCCGGATAGTGTTCATTGTACCCATTAGGTAGATTTTCACCCATCCCCTCCTCCCCGCTTCCCCCTGCTTGATTTCCACTGAGTTTTACTTCCCTCTGTGCACATGTGTGTTCATTGGTTAGTTCCAATTTAATAGCCAATACATGTGGTGTTTGTTTTTCCATTCTTCAGATACTTCACTTAGGATAAGGGTCTCCAGTTCCATTCAAATTGTTGCAAAAGGTATTAATTCATCCTTCTTCATGGTGGAGTAGCATTCCATAGTATACGTATACCACATTTTGTTAATACACTCATGAATTGATGGACACTTGGGTTGATTCTATTAAAAAGTCCAAAAACAATAGATGCTGGCATGGATGCAGAGAGAAAGGAACGCTTCTATGCTGTTGGTGGGACTGCAAATTAGTACAACCTCTATGGAAAACAGTATGGAGATTCCTCAAAGAACTAAAAGTAGACCTACCATTGATACAGCAATCCCGCTACTGAGTATCTACCCAAAGGAAAAGAAGTCATTTTATCAAAAAGACACCTGCCTTTCTTTGTCTTCCACAATGAATAGACAAAGTTGTACTTTAAGATTAGTTGCTTCAAGATCTTTCTTCTTTTTTCTGAACCCTAACTGCTGACGTCTGTGTGTCCATTGCCTCAGGTTGTATATGATGAAGGGCCTCTCTATGTCTTCTCCCCAACTGAAGAACTGAGGAAGCGTTGGATTCACCAGCTCAAAAATGGTGAGAATTATTTGGAAAAGAAACTAGTTGCCAAAGAAAGAAGGAAAGGAAGGAAGAGAGGAGAGAAGAAAGAGAAGAGGGAGAGAGAATGAAGAGAGAGAAGAGAGGGAGGAAGGGAGAAAGAAGAAAGGGAAAGAGGAAAGAGAACGATAGAGAGAGAGGAAGAAAGAATGGATGGAAGGGGAGAAAAAGAAAAGAGAGAGGGGAAGAGGGAGAAGGAAGGAAGGAAGGAAGAAAAGAAGAGAGGGAGGGAAAGAAGAGAAAGAGAGAGGAAGAAAAAAGAAAGAAAGAAAAAGATTTCATTTTGCCTCAATATTAGTGATACAACTGAGTTTAATATTCTATCACATTAATAAAAGGTGTCATATTAGACTAAGGGTTTCAACCCGGTCTACCACTATCTCTCTAGTGCAATTTTGTAATGTGGGCACCTCCATTTCCCTATTTATAAAAGAAAGTCCCATTCTTTATACTGATTACAAGGGTGGTGTGTCATTCAATGGTTATGCAATATTTAGAGTCCAAAGTATGAAATACCTAGCTCCAAAAAATTAAATCGATGATGTGTGAGAGTGCTTGAAGTCAGTCAGAGAACCTGTTTTCAAGCTCTCTTTCACCACTTGCAAACTGGGTGACTTTTGACAAGTAGACCAACAAGCTTCTTTGAGGCTCAATTTCTTCTTCTCAAAGGCGAATAACGATGATGCCTGCCATACCTATCTGTCTAAGGATCAAATGAAGTAATAATGTATGTAAAAGCACGTGGAAAACTGTAAAGCACTGTACAAGAAAGCACTGTACATCTCCTTATCGTGGATATTTCCCAAGGAAATATTTTGTGTTCCTTGCTTTGTGAGGACCTAGACTTGAACATAGCTTCAGCACTTCGCATAGACCATACGGTGTGCTCAGATAAACTTGACTGTAAGTGTTTGCAGCACAGGATGCATGCACACATATTTGTGTGTATATATAGCCACATATCAAGTGACTGAGAGATTAATTGGTTGAGTTGACATCAGGAAAGGCTGCCTAGAGAAACAGGAAGGATGGCAGACTGATAATGGCATGGTTGGGTTATTGCACGACAGCCCTTTGTCTTAATAAACATTTAGATTCTGACACTCATTGGCTGGCTATACCACCCTTGTTCACTCCCTTGAATGCAAATATGATTGGTCAAAATTATATTACCAGGTCTTTCAAACTGAAAGGGGAGAGGAGGAAGGAAGAGAAGGGTCATCTATTTTTTTTTTTTTGAGACAGAGTCTCACTCTTTTGCCCGGGCTAGAGTGAGTGCCGTGGCGTCAGCCTAGCTCACAGCAATCTCACACTCCTGGGCTCAAGCGATCCTCCTGCCTCAGCCTCCCGAGGAGCTGGGACTACAGGCATGCGCCACCATGCCCGGCTAATTTTTTTCTATATATTTTTTTTAGTTGTCCAATTAATTTCTTTCTATTTTTAGTAGAGACGGGGTCTCGCTCTTGCTCAGGCTGGTTTCGAACTCCTGAGCTCAAACAATCTTCCCGCCTCTGCCTCCCAGAGTGCTATGATTACAGGCGTGAGCCACCGCGCCCGGCCTATTGGGGTACATATATTTTTGTTACATGGATACCTTTCTTAATGCTTAAGTCAGAGCTTTTAGTGTGCCCATCACCCAAATACTGTTCATTGTACCCAATAGGTAGGCTTTTACTCCCCCTACTCCCCCTCCTCCTTCTTGATTTCCAATGACCTTTACATCTCTTTGTGCCCTGTGTGTCCATTGATTAGCTCCCAATTATTAGAGAGTACATGTGGTCTTTGTTTTTCCATTCCTGAGATACTTCACTTAGGATAATGGTTCCATCCAAGTTGCTGGAAAAGACAATATTTCATTCCTTTTTATGGGTGAGTAGGACTCTATGGTATATATACACACACCACATTTTGCTAATCCACTTATGAACTGATGGACACTTAGTTTGAGTCTACATCTTTGCAACTGTGAATTGTGCTGCAATAAACATCCAGGTACAGGTGTCAGGGTCATCAATTGAATTCTTGCTTCTTGCCAGACACTGAGCTAGATACCTTATATTTATTATCTCATTTAATTCTCACAACCACCTTGGGCTAAAAACAATAATAATAATAACAACTAATACTTAATGTGTACTTACTGTGTACCAGGCTCTGTGCCAAGTGCTTCAAATGTATTATTCATTTGATCCACACAATAACCTTGTAAAGTATGTATTATTCCCCTATTTACAGATGAGGGAACTGAGGCTCAAAGAGGTTATGTAACTTGCTCATGGGCGCATAGCTAATGAGTGATGGAGCCTGGATTCTCACCACATTCCTAGGTCTGTATCACTCCAAAGCTCAAGCTCATTACATGGTTTTGTGCTGCTTGCTTTCCAAGCCTAGAAATTTCACATTTAGTTGGTTGCAAAATATTCTACAGTACAGCCATGCTGGGTATTACAAAAAGGTGATATCCTGCACCACACAGTTCAGCTCTTGGCATGTTTTAAGATAAGGGGACTGCTTTAGCCCAATGAGCAAACTCTTTGATAGTGCTTATTATGATCCAGCCTCTTCTCTAAACTCTTTACATGTATTAACTCATTTATTCTTCATATTAACCATATGAGGCAGTTGTTTTTCTCATCCCCATGTTATAGATACGAAAACTGAGGTACAGTGAGGTTAAGTGTTTTGCCCAAAGGCACTCAGTTAGTAAATGATAGGGTTGGACTTTGAATTCAGTCTCCAGACTCCATGCTATGAAACAATATGCTATTTCCAGTCAGAGAAATAATCACAGAGACTGAGATAGGTACCCCAGCGGATATATATATACACACACACATCTTTGGTTCTCTCCACAGTACCTCCAGCGCCTTGCACACAGAAAGGGAAAAAGAAATAGTTGTGTGAATTTTTTTTTTGTGGGAGTAAACAATCACCACCAACTTGGGCTCCACATTGATAAATGGCTAGGACGTAGTTTGGAAATAGGGGAAAGTGAGGCAGACTAGCTGAGGGAGAAACAAGGGAGAAAGAGTGTGGTATGTTCAAGTTAGTAGCTCCTTTACACTTTAAATACTAACTTCAAAACCATAGTTTAGTCCAACAAAGATTTGTTGACTATAGTGCCCACTATATTCAAGTATGAGTAATGACTGAGGATACAGATATTGAGCTTGTAAGCTTGGTTTATCAACTCAGATGTTAACATTACTATGTTGATTATGCACTGCTAGTTAAGTTCGTTAGCTAAGTAAAATTACAACAGACCAAAAATAAAGCCAAAACACACAAAGAGAAACACCATCACTGTAGCTGGGTCATTAGTGTGAGTAGGTAGTGTGGCTAGGCACAGTTTTGCCTCCTCTTCCCTTATGTTTCACTGAAAGAATTTTTTTCCAATTGCTCCACCTGCCTATATGTCTTGTCAAACCTGTGTGGGCTGACAACAGGGGCCAAAAACTAGGTGCCTTCCGACAAATACCATAAGTGCTGGGAGATTTAAGTGCAAGTCCTAACAATCTCAGGACAGTCCCAGGTGCTGGGAATGCCAATAGCAATCTACCTAGGAGCCACAAAATGCCACTCTAGTGATGTTATCTCGTTCTTGGGTAAAATGAACCAATTGGAAATCACTAACATGAAAACGGTACCTCATCAGAATACTGGATACCTTTGCAGGGGTATTGACCATGAAGGGGCATAAGGAAGTCTTCTGAGGTGCTGGATCTGAGTTGGGTGTTAAACCAACGTGGACAAATGTGGCTCTCAGTACACCTTAGATATGTGCACTTTATTATATGTAAGTTCTACTTCAATTTAAAAAGTAGGACCTCAGGTACCTCATATCTAGCTGCCGTATTTTCTCAACGGTGCTTGCCACACAAAGGTTGTATCCCTGAGAACTTAGCCACATACTCTCTCTTTCCATTTCCTTGAACATGGCAGTGGGCACCTCTGTGTTCCAGCACCACAGATATTTGCCTACGCTCATTCTTAAATCTTCATTTGGTCAAGTTGAATAGAGCCTATCCTAACTGCAACTTCAAAAATAAGCAAATGGCCTGACCTCACCAAAATGAATCAAAGAATGGCATCAGCAAACTCCAATGACCAGTAATGGGAGGAATGATTCATGCATGCCTGAAACAGAATTTTAGACATTATCCTGATAAATATGGATAGAAGAGATGATCCGGCCCATCAAACACTTGAAAAATATGTATCCATTAGTGCTTCCCAGACAGAGTGGCCATGTGTACTGGTGAAGCAAGTAGTCTCCCCTAGCCATCCCACGTGGACACCCTGCTTTTGCAATCCTCTCCTAATTAGCTAGAAATTCTAGGTCTGGCTTAGGCAAGAAAAGAAGGGGTGTCATCTTCAAGGGACCTCTTAAGAGGGAAGACATATTTGGGAATGTAGGGGGGTTCTTAATGAGTGTGCTTAGGGTGGGGAGGACAGGAAGTCTTATTTCCTCTCATTAACTTATGAGCATAGCTTAGTTTATCCAAGTGGCTAGCTGTCGATTAGGTATTCTTGGCATGTCTACTGGTGCCCAGCCCTGCATAAGGCACAGAGGACCAGAGGGTCTTCAAATCCCTGGGTGAAGGGGAGTGGCATGGGGGGAGGGTGTAGAGAGTGGAGGTAGTGGGAGAAATCGATCCTGGCAGGGAGGAGTGTCAGTGACATTGTTCAGAATTACCAGTGCCTGGTAATAACAAAAGGCAGACAGATTTTTTGGTGGTTTGATTGCTGTTTTGAAATTCTCTATAGGCAATGCAGCCCTTTATAGCCCACACTTTATCTGAACAACTCCTACAACTCTGTCCTTGATACAATGGTGAAAAGTAGTGCTGAAAAAGTCAGGGGTGAGGGTGGGCAGGGGAGAGTGTTAGAAGTCTTCAAATCCATGTGAACAAAAGCATCAAGATGGCACTTTTTAAAAAAAAAAATGGTACTTTTGTTCATTTGCCTGTAAAATGCACCTAGCTACCAGAAGCTTCTAGGCCTCCCCCAAAGCCTTAAGTGAGTGAAATGTGACTAGCACACTTATAAGGACTTGAGTTGTTTTCTACAGTACAAGATTTTGTTTTGTTTTTGTTTTTGTCTTTTTTAAAAAGTTATGCAGGATTCTTCTCAGCAGTAAATGCTGAAATATGTATGTCCTCAAATGTGCATGTTCTTTGACAGTAGCAAGCACTGGGGCAAAGACCCAGGCTGGTCTGTCGTTTCAATAGTCTTTGTTTCTCTCAGTTATCTGACACGATGATCCCTGGACGACTTTTCTAATTGACTTCATGTTAACGTTCTTGAGATGCCACAGCATTATATATTTTCTCTTTTTTAAATGAGAATTGATTAACCATAGCATGCCATAGCATTTTAAACAGCAATACCAATTTCTCCTCTCTGCAAACCACTCTATTCTTTGCAAAATACTTGGGCTTCTGGGAGCTCTTTTGAGCCTCACAACCCTGGAAGGGAAATGGAGCTACTGTGTTTATCTCTGGCAATGGGCTCAGCCCATCTCAGTGGCCCGAAGAAAATTGGAACAATGTTTATTCTAGAAGCAAAATTACCTTCATTTATCCTTGAGATCAGCCCTGCTGTCTATTTTGTGAACATAGGAAGCCCAATGTAGAAGTTCTCACTAACTCGAATATCCCTAAAAGATCACTCAGGGAACTTGGAAATCGGTATATTAAAAGCTGGAGAGTTTGGGCTGGCACATTGTTTCCCTTATCTGGAAAGCAGACACCACAATCAACACCTACCTCACCGGAAGATTGTAATGGCTGCTGGGAAAATGTAGATAACATATTTCCGTTCTTGGCCTCTGGAGCCATTAGATATTCTTTTTTTTTTTTTTGAGACAGAGTCTCACTCTGTTGCCCTGGCTAGAGTGCAGTGGCATCATCATAGCTCACTGCAACCTCAAACTCCTGGGCTCAAGTGATCCTCCCACCTCTTGGCCTCAGATATTCTTATCATGTTGATCAGGAGATACTCATCGAGGCAGACCACTGAAGAAAACTGCACAGGAACTGCCTGGGGCTGGCACACAGTCAGGCAGGCCAGTCATGTGAGCCAACTGGTCCTGTGGTCTGCTTTCCTTTGGGGTGGCTGAGGAGGGGGCAGTTATTTGAAGCTCACCACTAAGCTTAGTCAAAAAGGAAAACATGCAAATGGTGGATTCTCCCCCATGTCAGATGTGATCTCTCTCTTCTCTCCTGCTACAGTAATCCGGTACAACAGCGATCTGGTACAGAAATATCACCCTTGCTTCTGGATCGATGGGCAGTATCTCTGCTGCTCTCAGACAGCCAAAAATGCTATGGGCTGCCAAATTTTGGAGAACAGGAATGGAAGTAAGAGATCTGATCAATATAATTTCTCCTTCCTTTGGCTCGATTTCCGTTGCTTTCCCAAGAGTCTGTCAAACCCAGGGACATAGCATAAAGTTGTACACTTTGGCCACTTCACAAAAAGGCCTGGAAGAGGGGATTAGTGGGGGCTGATACCCAGGTGACAGCCTGCTCTCCAAGCTATGCTACCTGGCATGCTATATCCACCCAGATACTTTTTATAGCGAAGTCCCTGACCAATCCTGTCCCTGGGCTCTTTCCTGAAGTGCATTCTGGATCATCATTGGCTTCTTGTTTTGCAGGCTTAAAACCTGGGAGTTCTCACCGGAAGACGAAAAAGCCTCTTCCTCCCACACCTGAGGAGGACCAGGTATATAGGGAAATTGGGTGCTGCTATTGCTGAAACAGAAATTTACTGTCAAAGCCTGAAAACACGCCAGTCTTAGAATTCCCTTGGGACTTGGCAATGTTAATTAGTATTCTTGCTGAGACAGGAAATTTGTCCTTCTAATTGGCACTTCCTCTTCAACGGAAAGATAGAGGGATATTAGGTAGCTCTGGGCAACCATATAATCCAATCATCTGTTTAAAACAAAGCCTCATTTTTTAATAAAAAGTATTTTCAAACCTACAGTAAAGTTGAGAGAATTTAACACTGAACACCCATATACCCAACACCTAGCACTAAAACTACCTACCCCTAACATTTTAATTTTTTTTTTTACTTTTTATTTCAGCATATTGTGGGGGTACAGATGTTTAGGTTATGTATGTTGCCCTTGCCTCCCCACTCCCCCCCCAAGTCCGAGTTTCAAGTGTGCCCATCCCTTGGATGGTGCGCATTGCACTCTTTGTGTATGCAAATACCCGTCCCCTCCCCCCCCCGCCCGACATCCAATAGATGTTATTCTTTTTTTTTTTATTTCAGCACATTATGGGGGTACAGAAGTTTAGGTTATGTATGTTGCCTTGCCCCCCCCCAAGTCCGAGTTTCAAATATGTCCATCCTTTGGGTGGTGCGCATTGCACTCTTTGTGTATGCATATACCCAGATGTTATTCTTATATGTACACTTATGTGTTGATCAGTTAATACCAATTTGATGGTGAGTACATGTGGTGCTTGTAAAACTACCTACCCCTAACATTTTACTTTAAAACTTGATTTTTAAAATAAATAAATAAAAAAAAACTTGATTTTTTTTGTTCCTTCTTGAGGTCTAGAAAACCCTTTCTCATATACCGTAAGTAAGTAGAGCAGGTGTTATTATGCTCATTTTGCAAAGAAGGAAACCAAGGTTCAGAGCCACTCACTAGATTCGTGTACTAGTTTAGCGCCAAGCAGGTTTCCTGACCTTGGCTGTACATGGTTTTTGTCCAGTAAGCTTTAAAAATACTGATGTCTGGGTCCCACTCCCGGAGATTTTGATGTAATTGGTCTGTGGGAAACTGCGTGGGCATCAGAATTGTTAAATGCTTCCTCGATGGTCTTCGTGTGCACACTGGTGCTTAAAAGTGGTTGTCGAATGAATGCTGAATAAATCTTTTATTATGCCTGATTTGGGTTAGAATGGTGTTTCTAGTAAGCCAGAGAGTTGGGAGAGAAGAAGAGAGTGCTTGATATCTAGCCAAACCTCCTGCTTTTTCTCCCGACTACACAGATCTTGAAAAAGCCACTGCCCCCTGAGCCAGGGGCAGCATCAGTGTCCACAAGCGAGCTGAAAAGGGTTGTAGCCCTTTATGATTACATGCCAATGAATGCAAATGACCTACAGCTGCGGAAGGGTGATGAATATTTTATCCTGGAGGAAAGCAACTTACCATGGTGGCGAGCCCGAGATAAAAATGGGTAAGTCCACGCCAGCCCTTCCTCAACCTTGTGCCCGCCCACCCCACACACGCGCAAAATGCTGCAGCGTCACTCCCCGGCTCAGTATCCTGACCAGAGACGGTTCTTCCCACACCGAAGTGAATATGCTCTCCCGCCAAGTACTTCCCAGTGTGCAGCTCTACGCGCGACCTCTGCCACCTCCCTGAGCCTTTGTTGTCATGCACATATAGCGCATGCCACATGTGCAGAAGTTCCACACTTCGCTGACTTAACCATGCTTCAGAGACGTGGTCCTCTTTGAGGGAGGGGTGTGATATATATACTTCCATTTGAGGTTGGTTCTGAGCCCAGGGATGTGGGCTTGTGAATCTCTCTCCCCGAGGATGGGAAGGTGCTAGATGATCCGCCACATTGTCTCCCCTACAGGCAGGAAGGCTACATCCCTAGTAACTATGTAACTGAAGCAGAAGACTCCATAGAAATGTATGAGTGAGTATGCCCTATGTTCCCGGTGTGCAGTCTTCCAAGAGGAACAGCAACAACAACAACAAATATATATATACACTTTGTTATACTTCCAACATATTTTTCATTTCAAGGTACATATTAAAATTAGTGCCAAGTAGGTCAAATGACGCCACTACCCCAAGTTAGTGCCTATGTCTTACCTTCACCCCAACACCCTCTGCTCACGAGAGCTGGAGAGGTCACCATGCCCTCAAATCCAGAAGAATGACGCTCAAAGAAAAAGAGTTGACAACCTGATGGGAAACATTTGAAAGGATAAAAATGTCAAACTGCTACTGTTGTCCTTTTCTCCCTAGTCATGGAGTGGATTGTCCTTAAGTGCCCCAGACCCTGATCTCTTCCCTGCAACCCCCTGCTACCTCCCTCTGCCTGCTACTCTCCATTTCCGTGAATCTTCGGTGCCAACCTGGGTTTGGGAACGGGATACAGTGGGCTATGCACATGACAGACACTCAATAAATAGGGTTTGAGTGAAACGATTGAATCGCTGGCCTGGAGGAGCCCCTTATGACCTGGCCCAGGAGCCACTCAAGCGCTCTCCCTTCGCAGGTGGTATTCTAAGCACATGACTCGGAGTCAAGCTGAGCAACTGCTAAAGCAAGAGGTAAGTGTGGGACCACAGTCTGACAGCATTCTCCCTGCACGGTAAGTGAGGACCCTGAACTGAGGGCCTGCTCTGCCCACCACCTTTGGGCAAAGTGGTGTCAAAGCCGCTGTTATCTGGGGTCCCAATTACACTTTTTAATAGTAAAAGCAGTGAGGCTACAGCTCAAGTGTGGAACTTGGCAGTAAAATCAGGGGTGATTCTATTTTCTCTCAGGTTTGGGCAGGTGGGATGCAGGTGCGAGCGCCACTTCCTCCTCCAGGCAAATTCTTTTTTGTTGTTTCAGGGGAAAGAAGGAGGTTTCATTGTCAGAGACTCCAGCAAAGCTGGGAAATATACAGTGTCTGTGTTTGCTAAATCTACAGGGTGAGTGCTATTGTTCCAAGGCCCTGGGGACGAAGGACAGGGGTACCCTCCCAACAGCTCCTTAATGGCGTGCCCCTCTTCCTTCCTCTGTCCCATAAACTCAAAACTCATCTCTCTTCACTTCTTGGGTCCTGCTGACCCTTATTCCCGAGTTACTAAGTATCCACTTCTTCAGGGACCCTCAAGGGGTGATCCGCCATTATGTTGTGTGTTCCACACCTCAGAGCCAGTATTACCTGGCTGAGAAGCACCTTTTCAGCACCATCCCTGAGCTCATTAACTACCATCAGCACAACTCTGCAGGTGAGTACCAGGGGCAACTGAGAAGAAGGGTGTCACAAACACTAGGAGAAGAAATTCGGGACAAGGTGGAGAGGGGAAGAATATGCCTCACAGGGCAGCATGAATTAGCTGTGAATGTAAACCCCTGAGCCGCTGGGCAGAGGTCTAGTAAGGAGCTGGTCAAAGGCAGACCTACACCCAATAGGAAGTAACTTCTTACTTGATAATTGATGATCAGTGCTAAGAAAAGACTCCAGAAGAGGCTGGTGACTAATCAATCAGCAAATATTCATTGAGTTCCTACTGTGTACTCAGCAATTTCCTGAGTTCTAGAGGAGAACACGGGATTCTGAGCTGAGGTCCTTCCCTCAAAGAACATGCAGGTTAGACAACATCAGAAGACAGCTGCTAAGTAGTGTAAAAATTCGAAAAACTTGGAGATCGGTGAGGGCATGAATGTGTGGGAAAAGCTGCATTGAGAAGGTTGGATGTGAGCTAAACCTAGGCTGGGAGTTGGGAATATAGTTAGTTGGGGGGTGAATTTCAATTAGTATTTTCTCTTTTGCGTCCCTGAAAACTCGTGAGAGGAGAAACTTCCAGAAAAATGTGGATTTGTGGAGATCTTCTGGGATTTAAAATGTACTAGAAAGATATATGCTGGAAGTGTGAGGCTTTAGACAGCATAGGCGTCTCAACCCCTACGCTGCACCAACAGTGTGACCTCTCTGTCTGTTTCAGGACTCATATCCAGGCTCAAATATCCAGTGTCTCAACAAAACAAGAACGCGCCTTCCACTGCAGGCCTGGGCTATGGTAACTGCTTGTTTCTCTGGGGTAGGGTGGGCCGCTCAGTTGCAAGGACTACCTTTGCAGACCTTGTGTTGGTAAAGACAGCCAAGCAAAAGTTATTTAATAATTTTCTCCCTCTAGTGGCTCTTACTGGGACTGCAAATACATAGATTCATAAGGGATTTGTTGTTTTGGGTCTTTTGTCTTTTATTTTTATGTTTTCCCTTTTTTTTTTTTTTTTTGAGACAGAGTCTCACT